CAAACCAACAACATGGAAGGGACCGTCTTCAAGATGTGAACAAACAACGTGAAAGAAGTGGGGGAGGAAGAAGCTGCTAAGAGCAGAGAACAGAGCTCAGGGCTTCCAAGGGAAAGTGGCCTCGCATCTGTGCACTGGGTGGTCCCCATGGGCCTCTCTCACCTGTGGCTAACTAGTTTATAAAAGCAAATATTTTAGAAACTCTAGAAAAACAAACAAGAAGAAAGAAAGCTAGTTGACTCTGAGCTTGTTTTAACATATATAGCTGTGTAAACGCCTTTCCTTAAAAGGTAAGATCTGGGGGCTGGTGTTTATTTCTCTTCACAACCAGCAACTAGTGGGATACTGAAGTAGAAGGCCATCCTGTTTTGTGCATGCATCGTTCTGTAGATTGGAGGAGGAGCCTCTACATGAAGCATGTTGAGATACAATGCATGATCTCAATCATGTGTTTAGCATGTCTCAAATGTTTTAAAATGCTTACCTGACCTATTCACATTTTTCTGAGATCTCTCTCTCTCTCCTCATCTGTGTGTGTGTGTGTGTGTGTGTGTGTGTGTGTGTGTGTGTGTGTGTGTTGCTTGGAGCCCTACCCAAAGCTTTACCATACTAGGCAAACACTCTACCACTGAGCCCCACGTCCAGCCCAGAACAGTTCACTAAAATGCTGCCTTCCAGTCAGGACTCCCTAAGTCAAAACTGAGCGCTTCCTGTGATGTGCTGGGTGTCTGTAGCATGAATCTTAAAAGTTCTTATTAATAAAATCAAACCTGAGGCCAGTTATTGGGGTGAATGCTGGAAGATCAGAGAAGCAGAACAAGCCACAGCTACCTCACCTTGCCAGTTCCTCAGCTGATCCTGTTTCCTCAGACTGGATGCCTCTCAGCTGAACTTTGCTGCTCAAAAGCCTAAAAGCTTAACCAGTCAAAAGCTTCTAGTTTCTGGTCCTCACGCCTTATATACCTTCCTGTTTTCTACCATCACTCCCTGGGATTAAAGGCTTGCTTTCTGGGATTAAAGGCATGAGTCACCATGCTTGGCTGTATCCTTGAACATATGGATTTTTGTCTCTGGAATGCTAGGATTAAAGGCGTGTGCTACCACTGCCTATCCTCATGTTTAATATTGTGGCTATTCTGTCTCTGACCCCAGATAAGTTTATTAGGGTGCACAATTTTTTGGGGAACACAATACCACCACAGGTGTCTGTGCTCAAGTCACTTTAGAGCTTTGCCAATACTCCATGACAGATTAAAGTCTCTTATTATGTTGCAAGTATATAAAATCAAGACTCAGTAGGGCTGGAGAAATGACTCAGCAGTAAAAAGTCCTGGCTGCTTTTCCAGAGGACCCAGTTTCCACTCCCAGCACTCACGTGGCAACTCACAACCATCTATAACTCCGGCTCCAGGAGATCCAGTGGGACTACACACATGGTACACAGACATACATGCAGGCCAAACACACATCTCTATAAAATATTTTTTTATTTCAAAAAGAATTAATGATATTTTAAGTCTAATAAATTACTTATATCTTATGATATTGAACTTGTTCTCCTCCTTTTAAGGACAATTTTCCTTGAACTGTAACTAAAGTGTATGTAATATTTTAGAACAGGACTGCAGCCATTTTGTGAAGAAACACTGGTACTTCCATAAGAACTCTATAGGTTGCTCACACTATCTTTGAATGGATCAGATAAAATCTTAATTATAAAGATGATGCTGCCTAGATGATAATTCCATTGCCTCTGGGATATGTGTTTTTCACAGGGCAGTTAACCTCCTAATTGCTCGGACATGCATGAACTCCATTATGAGTTGTATGCTCCACTGGCACTACGTACATTGAGTTTAATTATTATTCAGATGTCATTTTCAAGATTTCACTCCAGCCAGCACTGGAACAAAAGTCATAACCTATTCACAAAGATATGAAAGCAGAACAGCAGAGTACAAATTTGAGGTGAACCCTCTTCACCGGAAGAGTGAGCAGCAGGGTGACCTTTCTTAAGAATGAGCAAGTGTTAAATGAGATTGCAGGAATAAGATGCCTGAATCATAAAATAACATACTGTAAAAATAATTCAAGTCCAGAAAAGCATAAAGAAAGTTAAAGCCACTGCACAGAGTCTCAAATATGATAGAAACCGATTGAAGCATATACAGTTAATATGTGCCAGCTGCCCAGTGATTCTTCCAAGATTCCCCTGAGGCCTGAAACTAAGAGGGATGTTCTAAAACTGTGATAAAAGAGCAGCAGTCAGGCCAGGTGGGGTGGGCACAGCTGCTCTCAGGCCAGGTGGAGTGGGCACAGCTTCAGTCACACCAGGTGGAGTGGGCACAGCTTCAGTCACACCAGGTGGAGTGGGCACAGCTTCAGTCACACCAGGTGGAGTGGGCACAGCTGCAGTCAGGCCAGGTGGGGTGGGCACATCTGCAGTCAGGCCAGGTGGGGTGGGCACATCTGCAGTCAGGCCAGGTGGGGTGGGCACAGCTGCAGTCAGGCCAGGTGGGGTGGGCACAGCTTCAGTCAGGCCAGGTGGGGTGGGCACATCTGCAGTCAGGCGAGGTGGGTGGGCACAGCTGCAGTCAGGCCAGGTGGGGTGGGCACAGCTGCAGTCAGGCCAGGTGGGATGGGCACAGCTGCTCTCAGGCCAGGTGGGGTGTGCACAGCTGCAGTCAGGCCAGGTGGGGTGGGCACATCTGCAGTCAGGCCAGGTGGGATGGGCACAGCTGCTCTCAAGCCAGGTGGGGTGTGCACAGCTGCAGTCAGGCCAGGTGGGGTGGGCACAGCTGCAGTCAGGCCAGGCGGGGTGGGCAAAGCAGTCAGGCCAGGTGGGGTGGGCACAGCTGCAGTCAGGCCAGGTGGGGTGGGCACAGCTGCAGTCAGGCCAGGTGGGGTGGGCACATCTGCTCTCAGGCCAGGTGGGATGGGCACAGCTGCTCTCAGGGCAGGTGGGGTGGGCACATCTGCTCTCTCCCTCAGCAGTAATAGTGGAGATGATAAAGGATTGGGGTCATACTCACTCAGACCCAGACCTGTCTTAAAGAACATCTTAAGACAGGTTTGGTGGGGGTTTGCATGCTGGAACCCAGGGAAGCCTTTCAGGGGATGTCTAGATGCTGCAGTTGTAGGACACAGGCTCTGCAAGTCTACTTACCTGAAATTTGGCTCTTTGGGTGCCTTGTGAAGAGAAATCCCAGGTCTTCGACCCCATAGTGATGAGGGTAATGTGACATGTTTTCCCTACCCTAGGTTCTATCTCCTTGGGCTCACAGCTAAACTACACATCCCTGCTCCTCAGCAATGGGTTGCCCTCCTGTGCTGGGCTCTGAGCTGTGATTTGAGAGCAATGGTAAGGCAGTGCTTCTTGATCTCACCTAAAAGCTCTCCCCCATTTTACTCTCCATTCTCCCTTCCTCTTCCAGGGGAGACTTGAAGGCCGGCTGCTAACAACAGTACCACAGAACAGTGGCCAGAATCTGATTCTGAGTCCCTAAATGAGTGGACTCAGATTCTCTTCCTGATGGCCTGTACTAAGAAAGAAAGAGCCCCTCGCTGCTGGGCTACCATTATGGGGAGGTTGCTGGTCATAGTAACAAGCACCGCTAACCCCTGCTGGTGTACCCAACCACATATTACAAAAAGTGAAAGCAGTCAATCCAAGGAATAGAACCAAGAACAGGGTGGGTAGGTGAAGCTGGGTTTTTTTTTTTCTCATACTCAATATTTAGCTTTACAACAGTGTGTTTACATCATTTAAATGAAGATATAAATTACTGGTTTAAAAGGGAGGTGTAGGCTAGCAAGAAAAACAGACACAAACACAGATGATCAGAGAACACGTGACCAGTGACTTGCTTTGCTTGTTTTGACTGGGGGTATGGTGTCCCACGAGGGGTAGAAAGCTCAGGAATAGACTCTCCTTTCTTTCTCTTTTTCAGATGTAAGAAGATATTTTAAACTGTAAATGGTAGAGAGCTGAAATTCAGGGCTGTGCCAGCTCATGCAGATCCTTTGTGCAGATATTTTCAAAGCACCTTTTTCTGGAGCCATTCTGGAAACTGTCTTTCATATTATACTCACCTTGTTAAAATGAGACACTTGGCTGACATCTGGTGGATAAGTGTCAAAATAAATTGTCAAGTGCAGATTTCATGTCTGCAAAGCAATATCCCCTCCTTCCATGCACTTTGCTCTGTACACATCCTGTGCAGCTCACGCTTCGGGATCCTCCTTCCCAGAGTATCCACTGACTGTCCCAGACTCACAGATCCAGGTCCTGTGTGTGTGTGTGTGTGTGTGTGTGTGTGTGTGTGTGTGTGTATTTTCCTGTTCAAAACATTGCTCCCCTCAAAACAATAATTCTCTAATTTTTGTTTTTAACTTGTGTGCATGTGTGCACAGGCACATGCCACAACAGGCATGTGGAGGTGAGGGACAGCTTTCAGGAGTCAGTGCTCTCCTTGCACTGTGGGTTTCAGAGACTGAGCCCGTTCATCAGCTTGAGCAGTAAGCGCTTTCTCCTTATGGTGAGCTCTCTCGCCCACCCTCTCCCCTTCCTTTGAAGATCTAAAGCTTCAGTTGCCATAAACATCTGCTTAGGACTTCACTTACCCAGGGCTAACTCCAACCTACAGCCTGTGGCTGATGTAAACGAAACGTACTGTTTCCCCTCCGTGCACATGGCACAGGCCGTGACTCAGCGCAGCTTTTGGTATGAAGCTGTTGTATGAAGTTCTTGCGGGTAACCAAAGATAGGTTCTTGCCCTGGCTCTTAGCCGCACCAGGAGGACCCCACCCTGAGTATCACACTCTGCTGGCTTAGAACTCACGTTTCCGTGGCTGCCCAGACCATTCCCAAGCCCTAAGAGTCAGGCAGAGGACAAAAAACACTAGCTGTGTTTTGAGTTTTGAAAAAATTTTCAGATAGTATAATTTAATCCAGAAATACAATGAAGACGAAGAAGCCAGGTTGGGGTGGCTTCAAAATAAAAAGTGTTATGAGAGTCTTGCCATTTATTTTAATTAATGTTCAGTAACATTATCGTAACATACACGTATTTGTTACTTTTGCAAGTACCTTATAACTTACAGAGGACAGATTTATCTTGGCTCATGGTGAGAAAGGCATCATGGAGTTCACGGCAGCAGGGATGTGTGCTGGATGCTCCTCACATCCTGAAGACTCAGGAAGTAGAGGGAGCAGGATCAGAATAGGAGTTGGCCATCACCGACTTAAAGGTCCATCCTGAGTGGCCTACTTCTGCCAGAAAGGCTTCATCCCTTTAAAGGGGGCACCACAACCCTCTAAACCAGAGCCACCAATGGGGGGGAACAACAAACATTCAAACACGAGATTATAGGGGGACATTTCAGATTCAAGCCCTAATACTACAGTTATGAGAGATTCAGACAGTGAGGACATCTGAAGTCCACAGGAAAATGACCTGAGTCTCTTTCATGCTTCTGCAACTTGGCCCACATGGCTGATCGCCAGAGATCTATACCCCGCCCAGGGAAGATCAGTGGCCTTGTTAAACAACCAGCACAGAAGGAAAAAAGAACGCTTCAGTCTCCTAAAAATACCTTCCCCTGCATCAGACATTGGGATGCTTTGGGAATGATGTTGGGAAGGAACAGTGGCCCAAATCGTCAAGTGGAATTCTGGTACCTGCACTGCAGCCGTGTCCTGGGTCACAGGTGTGTTAGCATCAGATCAAGTGTAAAGGTCAAGACTACGTAAGCATGGAAGTGAACCATATGTGCATGGTGTCTTGGTCCCTCTAGAATTAAGTTGTTAATAGTATGCTCAATTCATTTTCATAGAACTTGTATCAGGGTTCCAGGTTTCCAACAGGATAATTCAAAGAATACCAAATCAAAGAACCATTTAAAAGTCCACCCAGAAACCATGGGGAACTGTATTATTCTTTGAGCTAATCTTATGGAAGCTGGACACTGGTAACACAGGGTTTGAAGGGCACAGTACAGAAGAAATGATGCGGACTGGAAAGAATCATTCTGCGAGATGAAGTCTGCTATCAGTGGGGAGAAGGAAGCCAAGCCCACACAGAGCCAGGAGAAGACACAAGCCAACCTCAGTGTCTTCCTTTCTGTTGGCTGAGGCCATGAGGCAGCCAGAAGGCAAGGAGGCTCATTGGTTCAGCCCATCTTCACCATGGAAGAAGAGCATAAAGTAGAGGTGGGAGACCAGGGCACTACAAAAGCCCTTAGCATTCTCCCATCACAACTTCAAAGAGAACTTGGGGAGCCAGGGCGATCAGCAAATGGACACAATAGCACCTCCAGCTCACTCTGCACCCATGCTCTTTTCCAGCCCTTTATCACTGGGTGCCAATGAGTATCCTTAATAACCCATCTGAAAGCAAAGATACTGGTAATGGTTTAGTAAATACATTTACAACATCAAGATACAGCCATGACTTGGAAATAGTAAACAGTGGCAAGGAAAAGTCAAAACTCCACTACTTTAAAAAAAGGCTATGAGACTTCCAGGTAAAGTGGCAGATTACAAACCATGTCAGAACCATTGGCTGACTATAGCTTGGGAAATAAAGGAACAGGAATATTTTGCCCTTTCATACGATTTTTAAGATTTTTTTTCAACTTCAAAACAAAAAAGAATAAATGTTGTGTTGTGTATTTTTCAGTTTGGGTCATGGTTAGGAGTCATTACTACAGCAATGCAGTTAAGATCTGTCACCTTCACAGCTACATCTTAAAGAAATACAATTGTATCAAATTTAGCCCTCACTCAATATATATATATTCTTGTTTAGCTTGAATGATATTCCTATTGTTTATGAGAGAAAATCCATTCATCTGTCAATGAACATGTAGATGATTTGCATATCTTGGCTATCTTGAACAGACTGCAGTGAGCACAGGGATTTGTTACTTTCTAAGGTGCTCTTTTAGGAGGGCTGGGTCACGTGGTATTCTCTTTTTAACTTCTTTACAAACTGCCATATTGTTTTCCAGAGTGGCTGAAGAAAACACTACTGTGGTTGATATATTGTGCACCTCAATAAACTTATCTGGGGGTCAGAGAACAGAACAGCCACTATATTAAACAGGTTTAGGCAGTGGTAGCACACACCTTTAATCCTAACATTCAGGAGGCAAAGATCCATCTGGATCTCTGGGAGTTCAATGCCATACTGGAAACAGCCAGGCATGGTGACACACGCCTTTAATCCCAGGAAATGATGGCAGGAACCAGAAAGGTATATAATGCTTGAGGACCAGGAACTAGAGCCTTAAGCTTTTAGGCTTTTAGCAGCAGTTCAGCTGAGATCCATTCAGATGAGGACTCAGAGGCTTCCAGTTTGAGGAAACAAGATTAGCTGAGAAGTTGACAAGGTGAGGTTGGCTGTTGCTTGTTCTGCTTCTCTGATCTTCCAGCATTCACCCCAACACCTGGCTCCAGGTTTGTTTTTTTATCAATAAGACCTTTTAAGATTCATGCTACATACTACTTTTAAGGCTAAGGCTTGCTTTTCATGTAATACAAAGAGAGGTGCAGATCAATAAGATGAGACCCGCCACTCAAGACAACCAACTGAATTTTACCTTTTCTCTCTCAGATTCCACTGAAACAATTAAAGAAATCCAAAGTATGAAAACAAATCCAGAACAATTCCCATAAGCCAGAACATTGCCACTAGAAGTCTAGATAGTGATGAACTTAGAGATAAAATAGGAGGGGAGCAATTGCTGTCGAACTCTGCAGACCTGTAGACGCCATCTGCCGAAGCCAGCAAAGAGGAGTATCCTCAGATAGTGAGGCATGCTGCCCAGAAGCCTGAGGAATCTTGGGCCAGTTCGAGAGTCAGACAAGAGGCCTTTAGGGCTGAGGGCTTACAACTGGTTCTTCTCAAAATTGTGCTTCTTCTGAGGTGGTGGTCAAGAGTGGGTGCTAGGACCCCCACTGCTGACTTTTAAAAGGGACACATGTCACCTTGTGATTCTGAAAACAGATCACTCCACACCTGCTTTGTCACCCACAGCCAAGGAGGAGCTCACCAGGGGAACTGGAGACCATGGGCTCCAGGTGGGCCAATCACAAGTGAGAAGTGTGTCCTTACCCCAGGAGTCCAGCAACAGCCATAGATGGCATCAGGCACCACAGCTGGGCGACAGTGGGAGTTTATTTCCACTGGGTTGTGACCGTGCATCTGTGGAACCCTTCATAAAGCTTTAGAAGATGACCGTGCATCTGTGGAACCCTTCATAACGCTTTAGAAGAACTCGAGCCCTCTCTCTTGATAGAGACCCACTTACCTGGCTTAGGGTTCCCTCCAGTCTCACTCTAGCTCCTTCTTCTAACATTTTCAAATAATATTAAATTATTACATATTTACAGACAGTATTGTGGTGTCTTCTGAAATTTCTGTTGATGTGCACATGCAGACACACACACACACACACACAAATGTGTCTCTTTTAATGTTATTATTAAATATTAACACATAAATTTTCAAGATAAGTGGATTTGATATCTTACTTTTGTACTTTTGAAAAATAATAAAGACAGGTGTGTTGGCTCACACCAAAAATCCCACAATCCCAGGTATATGAGCTCACACCTGCAATCCCAGTACTCAGGAGACTGTGGTAGATTACTGTAAGTTCCAGGCTATCCTAAGCTACACAGTGAGTCAAGGCCAGCCTGAGATACATACCAAAACACTGTCTTTAAAAATCGTGTTTGTTTGAATGGAAGCGCATGAACTATGAACCAATGGCTGAGGGGCCCCCAACTGGATCAGGCCCTCTGAATGGGTGAGACAGTTGATTGGCTTGATCTGTTTGGGAGGCATCCAGGCAGTGGGACCGGGTCCTGTGCTCATTGCATGAGTTGGCTGGCTGTTTGAAGCCTGGGGCTTATGCAGGGTTGCTTGGCTCGGCCTGGGAGGAGGGGACTGGACCTGCCTGGACTGGGTCTACCAGGTTGATCTCAGTCCTCGGGGGAGGCTTTGCCCTGGGGAAGGTGGGAATGGGGGGTGGGGTGGGGGAAGGCTGGGGGGGACGGGAGGGGGGAGAATAAGGGAATGCATGGCTGATATGTAGAACTGAATTGTATTGCAAAATAAAATAAAATAAAATCGTGTTTGTTGTACCCCTAAAGACCAGAAGAGTTTTGTACCCTGGAGCTGGAGTTATAGAAGGTTGTGAGATGCCTGGTGTGGTTGCTGGGAATCAAACTTGGATCATCTGGAAGAATAATATGTGCTCTTAACAGAGCCATCTCTGCAGCCCCTCGTGATAATCTATATAAGGAGCATGTACACCTTTAGTAAGTATCAGATGTCAACTACACTAAGCACAACCTAGAGGGTAATGGTCCCTGTAGCTCTGAGGAAAGAGCCAGATGGGACATCAGACTGAAGGCTAGTGGCATAATGGGCAACTTGCCCCGAGCCCAGCCTCCACATGCACACCACAGTCACAAAGACCAGGACAGTGCCAGCAAGAGTGAGCATGTCAGCAGCCCAGGTATCCAGTGAGCACACAGCTGTGGTTACAAAGACCTGAGAGTAGCACTCGGGGCAGCATGGGCACCCTGAGTTGCCTCTCCATAGAGCTCACTCTGACACTTTTAAAGACTGAACAGAACAAGGAAGGTATCATGTCCTCCACGAGATGCCAGCAAACCATGTTGTTGGTTATTTTTCACTCTTTACTCTTTGGGGGACCCACTACCCAACTCCCAAATAAATCACATAGAGACTTATTTTTTCTTATAAAAAAAAAAGCCCTGCCTTAGCTTGTCTTATTTCTAGCCAGTTTTTCTTAACTTGAATTATCCTGTCTATCTTTTGCCTCTGGGCTTTTACCTTTCTCTATTTCTTTTCTTTTACTTCTTTTTCTGTGGCTGGTTGTGTAGCTGGGTGGCTGGCCCCTGCCGTCTTCCTCTCTTCTCCTTTTCTTGCTCCTTGATCTCTCTTGCTTCCCGGTCCCTCTTTTTCTCCTTGTATTTATTCTCTCTGCCTGCCAGCCCTGCCTATCCTTTCTCCTGCCTTCGTATTGGCCATTCAGCTCTTTATTAGATCATCAGGTGTTTTAGACAGGCAAAGTAACACAGTTTCACAGAGTTAAACAAATGCAACATAAAAGAGTGCAACACATCTTTGCATTATTAAACAAATGTTCCATAGCATAAACAAATGTAACACATCTGTGGTGATATTTTTGTTTGTGCTTTAACAAATAAAGATTTCCTAAAGATCTGAGGGTGGAGCTAGCCACTAGATAAACATAGAGGCTAGGCAGTGGTGGTACATACCTTTAACCCCAGCACTTGGGAGGAGGAAGCAGGAAGATCAGGAGTTCAAGGTCACCCTGGGCTGCACAAGATTGATCCAGTCTAAAAGAGAAACAGAGCCAGGCAGTGGAGGCACACACCTTTGATCCCAGCCCTTGGGATCTCATGCCTTTAATCCCAGCATTACGGAAGTGGAGACAGGAAGTGATGTGGCTGGGTGGACAGAGGGATATAAGGCAGGAGGAGACAGGAGCTCAGTTCTCTTTCAGGCTGAGAATTTGATAGAGGTGAGAAGTCTCTTTAGTGCTGGCTCCTTTACTGAACTTTCAGCATTTACTCTGCTCTCTAGCTCTGGGTTTTTATTATTAAAACCAATTAGGATTTGTGCTACACACATCTTAAAACAATATTCCACCACAAAACTGGGGTTCAGCATGTGTGTAACCACAGCTCTTGGTCCTGCATCAGCTCACGACTTGCAGAAAGCATCCTTGGTAACCATCATCACAACCCACAAGGGCCATTCTTAGAAAAATAAGAGTCAGGGGACATGATAGATGATGATTCTGGGAAACCCAAAGAAGTAGCATCAGGGAAACACAGATCTTCCTGCAGACCTAAGAGCTGGAAATCAGACATTTTTGAAATCCTGGTATCAGGGTAAGAGAACCCTAACCTATTTGTCCATCTGTCTCATCTGTTCTCTCTCCAGCACGCTGCTCTTCAGCTCCATCCCTGCATTAGAAGGAAGGAGGAAAAGACACACACACACACACACACACACACACCCCACACATGTATATATGTATGTATGTATATATATATAATAGGCATTTATATATAAAAAGGATTGCATGTACAAAAATATATAGACATTTATATATATATTAAGGATTATAGATGTGTCTATGCATATGTATATCTTTGCATATGTTACCATATATCCTTCTGTAAATTACCATCTATCTTTAAATATGTATCTTTGCTAAGTCTTACTCAGTTCCTTCATAATACATATCCCTCAGTAGCTACCTTGTGCACCTCACACTTGTTCCTCCACCCGCTAGCTCACACTGGATGTTTCCGTTCACACAGGGAACTAGGACTGCACTGCAATCCGAGAAATGCTGGCATCAGGGGCTCAGAGCTCCAGGGACTTGAGGCCATGTGCCAGGGACACATCACTGGGCCTGAGTCACTGGAAATGAGGGAGGGGACCAGGACCCCCAGAGAGGCTGCCTATTGAGTGACCCACAGGGACACAGACCTATCCTTCCCTATGGCCACAGGAACCTAAGAAACAAATTCCAACTAGCTTTGTAATAAACTTTTGTGAACAGGGAGAATCCTATACCCTAGGATTCTCTTCCTGTGTTCAACAAGGCTCGTGTAAGGAATGTGGGAGCAGAGGCCAGGCAGCAGCTGAGCCATATAGCATCGTCTCTCACCTGCTCCCTCCATGCATGAGACAACAACCAGACCAGCAGCAGCTCCGTGTTCCTCCACCGTTTCACTTCCCCGGGGCCAGATGCGTGTGTTCAGCTTCATGATGAAGGTCTGAGAAGGGCGATGGTTGTGAGATCTGGTAGACTTCAGCACGCCCCCATGGGCTTCTGCTCAGGAATCTAGCCTGCCTTCTTTACCTCTTACTTCCCAAACACCTGCCAAGGGTAAAGCTCCCATGTCAGGTGTAAAAACAGCTACACACAGCCTCCTCCAACAGCAGCCATGGCTACCACCCATGCACACCACCCACCCCAGGGGTCCAGCGTCTCTGTCTCCTTAGCAACCGTTTAAGTTTCATTTCTTAAGAAGCTATACAAATGACTGAGAGTTGCCCTTATCTGTTCTTGTAAAACAAAGGTTTCTGGTGAATAGACCAGAACAGCCCAATGACAGAATGATGGGAAGAAACAAGCTACAAAGCCACTAGAAGGCATGGCAGGAGCCTGAGTACAAGGCACCAACTGAAAGAGACTTGATTACAGCGGCTGCTGTGGATGGTCCAACCGTCCAGTACTCTGGAAAAAGCAAAATTATGGAGAAGAAAGGCCAAGGTTTGCGAGGGATTGAGGAGAGCAGGAGGGTGAACAGGAAGGGCACAGGGTGACTTTGGGGCAGGGAAACCATGTGACACCTTAACAGAAGCTGCAGGTCATTCCACAGACCTGTGGGAGGTGCAGCACAACTACAGACCACTCTGCAGAGAAGGGTGAGGGGAGAGAGTGTGGGGGAGGCAGGCGTAGATTTCAGGAAATCTAGATCCTACAAAAAAAGAGAGACTAAGTTACTCTCACCTCATGATGGGAGGAAAGCTAGGTACAGTCAGCATTGCTGGTTCTGAATTTATAGTTTTGCCAAGGAGAAAAAAAAGAAAAAGAAAAGCTATCAGTAGAAAAACTGCAACCACTGTCTCCAGACAAGTTTCGGTAAGTGTCAAACACTCTAGTCTCAGGCCAAACTGACAGTGCACCCCTCGTCCCTCCCTAACTTCACACTCACACCCTGTGGGACCTTGTCATCTAACCTGCAGCACTCCTGGCCAACGGAGCAGATCCCTCAAGGACCATAACTGCAGAGAGAAAACTGTCTCAACAACCATGCCCTTGAGAAACTTAGCAGAAGGGGGTTGCACAAGGACAGCTGAAGGAGCTGTTCTTCAGAAGTGATGTTGGAAGACCGTGAGGGCGGGGACACGCATGCCCTGAGAAAGGCAAGGAACACAATGTGGGCAGCTGCAGCTAGGGCTGTATTGTGCGTCTACAAGGACAGCAAGTGTGGAGTACGACCATGTGGATCTTTCAGGCCAGTGGGTCAGCTGGCTGGGCTGACACACCTGTCGTGGAGCTTTGCAGTGAGGGGACTGGAAGACTGAGTGGGAGATGGTGCCTCTACAGAATGAGTCTGTGCTGGCCAGCCAAAGCCTCACAGTGACTGCTCTTCCCACACAGCTAAACCCCGGCAGGTCTGCAACCAGAACACAGAATGCTTCAAAGCACCTTTGTTGGTGCTAACAATAAGCTGAACTTCAACGTGGAGGGAATTCTGGCTTAGTAGGGTGGAAGCCGTGCTGTGTAGCACAGGTGGCACTCCTGTCTACACGACCCCTGAAGGTCCCTCTGCCCATGGCTGTGGCCAGCAGAGCAGCCCCGAGGGCATGGGCCACAAGGACATAGTATGTGGAAGCTACCTTTGTGGAAAGCTCAGAAGAGCCACTTTGAATTAATAAAAAAGAACAAAGATCCATTTGAGGATTCTGTGAGTGAGAACACTTGAAACAACTTTTGAAAGCAGAGTCCAGTCCTGGCATTGCGGCTCAGGGGCTGCTAGCCAGCCACTGGCTAGAGTGAAATTGTGTTCTTTGGTGATGTTAAAGATGATTTAAGAATGGAAAGGTAACCCGGGTCGCCTTTTGCCAGCAGGTCCAAAGGACAGTAATTGAAGGAAAGATGAGAATTCACAGCTGCTGTGGTTTGAATACGGTCCAGGCCCTCTGAGGTTCAAGTCGAAACTGGCTGTGACAGTAGTGTCAGGGCAGGGCCCTGGAGAGGTGGTTGGAAAGCTTTCTGTGGACACCTGCTGTCATAGCTCCTCCACAGGCTGAAAGTGTTTGCTTGAGCCCAGGGATTCTAGGACAATGAGGGGAACACAGTGAGACCTCCATCTCGTGAAAAAACAAACAACAACAACAAAACCCCAATGATTCATCAGCTGGGGTGGTTTGAATGAGATGCCCCATATTCTTGGGCATTTAAACACTTGCTCCACAGTTGGTGATGCTGTTTGGGGAAGCTTAGGAAGTGTGCCATCCTGGAAGAAGTGTGTCACTGTGGGCTGACTGTGAAGCTTAAAAGCATCCCACCATCCCCAACTCAGCTCTCTCTGCTTCCTGTTTGCACCTGGAGATGTGTGCTCGTGGCTGCTCCTGCACCAAGCCTGCTGCTGCCAGGCTTCCCCACTTGCAGGCCGAGTGTCTGGTGTCTTCAACAAAAGGGTCTTGCCATATATTTATGGTAAGGGCAAGAGCAATGGTGATATCTTGTGTTGTTTTGGTTGCCTCTGGGGTCTTCCTGATCCATAATTCAGGGAAGTAACCCATGCCTTGTGCTTCAATTTTCATTTAATAACCCATAATTTCTGGGGGCATCACTGTCCAGCCATGCAGGGTAATTTTGTTCAAACATTTTTTAAAAAGTTGTTTATGGCTTCATTTGATTACATTTGCACGTGCCACATATCCCTTCATCCAGCAGTGGACAGTTGGGTGGAGGTACCGAGCTGTACAGCTATAGCTGTAGCTTGGCTATTGTGACTTCATGCAAAACATACATATTCTCTGTGCAGTCATACACAGCCTCGGTTTTCCCTCTTCAGACTGCTGTCACAGTGGCATTCTGCATTTTTGCAGAAAGTGACAGCTGTTTTATCCCACTCAAGCCCTCTGGACACCCATGCTCCTTTGCTGAGGTCTTACACATGAACACCAGCTCATTTGACATCATGGTTACCTGGGTTGTTGCCAAGATGACTTTTAAACAAGGACAAAGAGCAGGGTAAGTTTGAGGCTAAAAAGGAAATCACCAGGTCACGAGATACTACATCTACAGTGCTCTTCTCTGCACAGCTTTGTGCTCAGGTCAGATGGGCTAAGCAAAGGAAATAAAATGCACTGTGATCTGTTGTTGTATACTCAGTACATATGGAACTGCACTTAATCTACACAGTGACCAACTGAAATAACACAGAACTAACTCTATCAGACAAGATAACTACAGCCCAGAAGAAACAAGTGGTTCATGCAGGAGATCTAAAGCAGAGCCACTCAATCTACATCTTCTAGCTGAGACACCCCTATACTTTCTTCTGATATGTCTCCTCAGCAGGATCCCTGAGTCCATCTTTGGCCACAGCCAAGGTTTTTACCCACAGGCTGTAGTGTGGCACAGCAAAAAGAGCAGTAGCCTCTGGTAGATACTAATTGAGTACTTCCTATGTGCAGGCACCAACCTGGGTTCTGGGGATATGGAGATGAGTTAGCAAAAGCCATTGCTTCAGGTTTTAGTTGAGGATGCTGCCTGAGGTACATAAGAGATAAGACAAACCCTGGGATTGGGTGGCCACAGGATCCAAGAGACTCATATTTGAAATGAGAACTGGAAATGTTGACCCTGTAAGAGCAAAGAAAGATGTGGGTAAAAATTAGGATGGTGGTGGAGAAGAAAGCCTGAGGCTCTCATCCCCTAAACTCAGCAATTTTTCACAAAGGCCTTTTATGAAAACCCAGAAACTTAATTTAAAAAATCCTCCAAGACTAATAAAAAGGAAATAATAAAAGAAATAGTGAGGTTTTTCTCTGTCAACAATTATTTTTAAATTAAATGTATTGAATTCCCCAGTGTAAAAGTCTAACTGTGGACTAGGTTAAAGACAAATTATTATTATTATTATTATTATTATTATTATTATTATTATTTGTTTTGTTTTGTTTTTCTGAGACAGGGTTTCTCTGTAATTTTGGAGCCTGTCCTGGATCTCACTCTGAAGACCAGACTGTCCTCAAACTCACAAAGATCCACCTGGCTTTGCCTCCCGAGGGCTGGGATTAAAGGCATGCGCCACCACCACTCAGCTAAAGACAAATTCTTTAAAGATACAAACATTTGCTGCCAATAGAGACTCACTTGACACTTAAGAACCAGAAACTGATCAGAAAGAGTAGAGTACTTACATTGGACAAAACAGACTTCAGGTCAAACCCATCACAACAAATAAGGGACATAAGATAAAAGAATCAATCTAGCGGGAAGATATAACAATTAAAACACAAATGCACCCAACACCGGAGCACATAAACACATAAAGCAAATGATGGCAGGGCTGAGCGGAGACTTCAGTGCCTCGCTTTCAGTAATGGTGGAACATCAGGTCTACAGTGTTGCCGTCACCAGTGAAGGGCAGAAGGCTTGCCCTGCGCATGCTGGGAAGACGGGCTATTCCACTGGCAGCAGCAGAACACACATTCTTTTCCAGCTCTCATGGACTGTCTCCTCGATACATTAAGTATTAAATCACAAAACAAGTCTTCACAAGCTAAGACTGAAATACGATCAAGCACATCCCCAGTGCAGAAAACAAACAAAAATCAGAAGGAAAATGGGAAGACATACAAATATGTGAAAATTAAACAAAATGCCATTAGAGAGCCATCATACCAGAGAGGAATCAAGAAGGAGATTAGAAAACACCCCTCGACAAATGAAAACAGAACACAGGAAACCAAAACTCATGGGAGCCAGCACAAACAGCACTGGGAAGGACGCTGGCTGCCATAAATGCCCACATCCAAGAAGAAGAAAGATCTCAAATAAACAATCTAATTTTACATCTGAAGGAACTGAAGAACGAGGGGAAGCTAAGTCTGGTGTTAGCAGAAAGCAGGAAATAAGAATGAGGTCAAAGACAAACAGAAAACAGACTGTGAAAAAGATTGATGAAGGCAAGAGTTGGTTTTTTTGTTTTTTTTTAAAAAAACAAAATTGGCAAGCACTTGGCTAAACTAATTAGGAAATAAATAAACCAGCAGTGAAAAAGTTGACATCACACTACCATCACAGGAATTAGGACGATCGCTAGACTGCATCGCACAAGCAAATCCACGAAACAGGAATGGCTAGTTCTTGTTCCCAGGAGCAAGCCTTGAAGGGATGACCTGCCCAGAACTGTAAGGAGATGAGCACTGAATCGGGATTCAGAACCTGGGCTGACAAAGCCCAGACCAGGCCGCCTACCTTTGAATTCTACCAGACATTTAACCCTTTCTGAGCAGCTGAGGAAGAGGGGCATTTCCAGGCCAATTCTCTGAGGCCTGCAGTAGCCTGGTACCAAAGTGCAAGGAAAGAAAACAGCAGACCAGAGTTCCTAATGAACACAATTTGAAAATCCCCAACAAAATACTAAGACATGAAATCTAACAGCACATTACAAAGATCCTTCACAGGGCCAGTGAGACGGCTCAGTGGATAAAGACACTGGCTGACAAGTCTAACAGCCCGAGTTCAATCCTGATGACCCACATGGTGGGAGGAGAGGACCAACTCCTGTAACTCATCCTCTGACCCCTACATGTGCACCATAGCTCATATGTATGTGCATAGGACACACGCAAACACAACAAATAATAAATAGATAAATAAATGCAATTTTAAAAACTTTTTAATGTTAATAAAAAGATCATATACTATAATCAGGTGGATTTTTTTCTTCTGAGGTGCAAGGATGATTCAATATATAAAAATCAATTAATATAGTATACCACTAATAGAAAAATAATTAAAAATTCATATAGTCATCATAATTGATACAGAAAAAGCATTTGGGATCATTTAACATTCTTTCATAATTAAAATAAGACTCCCAAAATACTAGGAACAGAAGTTAAAAAAAACAAACACACGACTCAACATTGTAAAGGCCACATGTGAAAGGCCACAGATATCACACCCAGTGTGAAAACCAAGGCACTGAAACTATGGTGAGGGCAAGACAAGGATGCCCAGTGGCCCTGACTCTACTCAGCCCAGTGCTGGGGCCACAGCACAGCCACTGAGTCAAGGGACTGTGAAGATGGCTTCCAGGTCAGAGGGAAAGAGTCAAGAGCTGCCCCTACACATGGAGCTAACAGCCCGCCAGCTCCTCATAGCAACAGGAAGGATGACACTGACAGAGACGCAGCTCCAACAAGGGGATTCCATCCCTCACATTCGAAAAGTTAGTAGCCCTGGTCACAATATTCTCTCACAACCGCTCTCCCTGCCCTGAGGGTGGCTGTCTTCTGTGTCTCCATCTGGCTGTCCCTCTGGTCATGTCTGATTGGAAGATACTCTAAAGAGCTCACTTTAGCTTAATTACCAACTTGCCTACACTCTGGACCACTCCATGAGTGGTCCTCACAGGAAGGTTCAAGAGGATATTACAGATGTTCACGGTAGGACACCATTAGCAAGTGCAGGTTAAGAACCTTAGGTAGTGGTGGTGTGTGAATGGAGTACTGCCAGACACTCAAGTCAACATGCCCACATTAGGAGTGGAGAGATGGCTCAGCTGTTAAGAACACAGGCTTCTCTTGAAGAGGACCTGGGTCCCATTCCCAGTACCTACATGGAGACTCAACTATCTATACCTCTAGTTCCAAGGGATCCAATGTCCTCTTCTGGCTTCCATGATCACTGCACACAAGTGAGATATATATATATATATATATATATACCATACATGCAAGCAAAAAAATACACACATAAAATTAAGATAAATCTTTCCTTTAAAAGTCCTCGTTAGAGCCAAGCATGGGGAATCCTATTGAAGAGAGGGAGGAAGGCTTGTACAAGCCAGGGGAGTCAAAGTCATCACAAGAAAACGCATAGAAACAACTAACCTGGGCTCATAGGAGCTCACAGACTCTGGACTAACAGCTAGGGAGCCTGCACAGGACCAACATAGACCCTCTACATATGTGTGACTGTTGTGTAGCTTAGTCTACTTGCAGGACTCCCAACAGTGGGAGCAGGTATAAGTGGACGTTTCCTGTTCCGAATGCCCAATCCCAAATAACCAACTGAATATGAGTTATAAATGCTTGGCCAATAGTTCAGGCTTATTACTAACTAGCTCTTACATTTTATGTTAACCCATATCCCTTATTTATGCTCTGCCACATGACAGTACCTTTATTAGCATGGCACGTTCATCTCCTTCTCCCTCTGCATCTGACTGGCAACTCCTGACTCTGCCCTTCTTCCCATCATCCTCAGTTTGGTCACCCCACCTATACTTCCTGCCTGGCTACTGGCCAGTGTTTTATTAAACCAATTTGAGTGACAAATCTTTACAGTGTACAAGAAGATTTTATTCCACAGCAAGCAGGGACTGTCCCTAATGCTTTGGCTGGCTTTTGGGACCCTATTTCTCATACTGGATTGCTTTGCCCAGCCTAAATACAAAGGTGGGGGGAGCTTAGCCCTACCTCAACTTGATGTGCCATGCTTTGTTGACACCCATGGGAGGCCTGCCCCTTTCTGAACAGAAACAGAGGAGTGTATGGGGGGCAGAGGAGAGGTGGGGGAGGGAATGGGAAGAGAAGATGGAGGAGAAACTGCAGTTGGGATATAAAATAAATGAATAAATCTAATTAATAAAAAAATCCTCATTAGACCCATATTGTAACCATTTTCACAATTACATCATCAAGAATTTTTTTATCAATTTTTGAACGTAGGATGTGTCTTCAGTGAAACAAAATGGAATGAAATTTCTAAAAAAACAAACAAACAAACAAACAGTAAGTGGTAAAGTCAAAACTGACACCAATCTGACTTGATCATACAAGAACAGCTCTGGGGAGAGACATGGAGACACCAACCAATCAAACTCACAGACTGAAGTCCTGGCTCTTGCACATGACTATTCCTAGGGACACAACCGTTGAAGAGATCATTTAAGCTACATAGGTGGCCCTGATGTAATTTGACTGACATTCTTGTAAGAAGAAATCTGGGCAAAGAACCAGGGGAACATGGGCATCAAAAAGAGCTTGTGCAGATGAGTGAGAAGCCAGGGAGAGAACCCCTGACCCCAGACACTGGATTTGCTGTCATGCGGTTCTGGAGTTTCAGCCCCTAGAACCACGGATGATACATTTCTGTCCTTTGAGTCACTTGGTGTGCAGAGCTGTTATAATGGCCATGTTTGTGTCACTATAACTAAAATAACTAACAGAAACAACCTAAGATTGATTTGGGCTATTTGAGTCCATCAGAACCGAGAAAACACAGCTAAGTTCACAGCAGTCAGATTGGTGCTAACTCATCAGTTATGCAGTGGAGTGCCAGACCCAAAGTGGAGGCTGAGATAAAGCTTCAAAGGCTAGAGACCTACTTCTGCCAGCAGGGCCCCACAGTGGAGCCATCAGGCAGGGACATTTACCTGTAAACCATAACAACTTCAATATGACAGCCCTGGCAAAATACTACAGGGGGGAAATGGCAAAAGAAAGGAGATTAGTGAGGGGCAGAGAGAGAAAGGGAGGAAGAGAGGGAGAGGAGGAATGGCGGAGTGCTCTTTATTCTTGATTCCCCTTCAGGGAGGAGCTACCATAGACTGAAGGAACAGAAGA